ACATTAAAATAAATTGGTAACATACCTTGAACATTTTGTGCTTCCGGACATAACGCAATCTAACTTAGTACTAACGTTAGTTGTTTATAAATAAGATTAACCTCTCAATTAAGTGATATTTTGAGTAAAGAATTCAAAGTTTAATCTGGTTTCAGATGCTGTGTGAATGCATCAATAGAATCAAGATTGTATTTCATACACAAATTCTATGTAAGTAACCGCTTAACGAAAACGACAGGGAATATAATCCCTGATGCCCAGCAGATCGCATGAATATCACGGGCCTTAGGGAAACCACATTATTTGAATGACGGCAATTTTTTTAATTTAAAGCAAAATAACTTGATTATAATACCGTACCATATTTTTCCCCCCAAATAATGGCGTAATTTAAAAATGTAGCTGTTATAATATTTCATGTTAAGTGTGCATATCTAGGTGAGGTCAAATTTCATGAATTTCAGCATCAGCGTGTAAGAAAAATCTAATGTGTGTCAAATTTTTTAATAACCGCAAGTCATGAAATTGTACTCAACAGCTTCATATCGCGATAAATTCATATGTATTTAATTCAGTGTAAACAAATTTCCACTCAGTCAGGCTTACATAGTTTTAATAGTTAACTAATTCCAACATAGTTGAAATAATCGACAAATTCCACAAAATTAAAGTAGTTTGCAAATTCAAACTGAGTTGAAATATTCGAAAAATTCCGCATGTTTAAATTAGTTGACATAGTCCACATATATAATTGATCAATTCCAACATAGTTGCAATAATCGAAAAATTCCAAAATCAAAGTAGTTGACAAATTATAAAATAGATGAATTATTCAACAAATTCCACATATTTAAAGTATTTGACAAATTCCAACATCGTTGAAATAATCAACAAATTACACATATTTAAAGTACCTATTTGACAACTTCCAACACATTTGAAATAATCAACAAATTCCACATATTTAAAGTATTGACAAATTTTAACATAGTTCAAGTAGTCAAGCCCAAATAACAATCGTCGTAAACGAAAAGCTCTGAGCCTCAGCTTGCAGAAGGAAAGTACTACGCTATAAACATTAGGTATTATAAGAGTAAGCTAGTTTTGTGCAGCGTGATGCAATCCTGAGAAAAACCTTTTTCTTCAACTTATTAAGCTCACTAGCGTATTTTTCATATTCCTACCTTATTCCTTACTTTTAAACCTTAATCGTATTATAAAAATTTCAGTTTGATATAAAAGCCAATTCTGTTATAGGTTTATCGTAACATAGGATGTTTTTATTAATCCAACGGGTACTACATATCTACCATTCAACGAGAGAACAACACGACTATAGGTTTTAAATAATTATTAAATCTTCCATAAAATACATATCTTTTCAATCTACCTGCACCCATTTGATGGGAATTGACAACAAGTATATTAACATTCCTATCTGGGAGGTAAATTTTCTGGGGTTTCAAGTTCAACCAATATTTGAGATAGCCATGAGCAAAATGATTCCATTTATGCAGTCAAGCAAAAATGGAATCATTTTGAGCAAGCGGCATTTTGTCAGCTACATTTCGTGAAATATAATATGAAAAGAAAAAAAAATGAAATATCTCTATAACTCGGAATTTTTATTCCATCGTCCAAGCAAATAATCAAGCCATCTTTGTTTTTTGAATGGCATACAAATCCTTACACTCATTCCCGCATCGTTTCGAAACAAGTACAGAAGCACATGCCAAAAAATGCTTTTTCTAAACCTGACGACATTCTCTTTACAAACTTTACCACAATAATCAAATTTATATTCCTCCGGGTTACAATATTAAATATTTCTGTTAATATCCGTACACATTTAAAAAATGCATGCACATCATGCATTCCTATGTTACCAGCAAAAATAAACATTAGCAGCAAATAGATACCTCAGAGATCCAGCGTATATTCCAAACAAATGTTCGGCTAACGCTCAAATGCATTCAAGCCGTCACATGAGCAGCTGAAAGCAAAATTCTCATAGAGAGAAAGCTCACAAATTGAAATTCTCAAGACTAAAGCTGTGCTAAATTCGGAATCGGAGATAAATACTTACACTTAGTGAAACCACAATTATAATCTGTACAGTTAATAAGCTTAAGTATGTTAGAATAAGAAATATTAGCGTATCAGGTATGATAGTATCACAATAGTCCGTTCAGATAAGCAGAAGCGAGCAAACTTTCTCTCGATAAAGCGTGCACTTCGCACGATTCACAAGGAAGGAAATTCAAAAAAGCAATAAACTTTTTTTTGCAATCATTGCTTGAAAATCGCAATTGAGAAAAATCTGAAAATCTAGCCTTTAATTTTGATTTTATGAATCTGGAAGATCACGTGAGTTGGTGGTTGTTGAACTAACTGCAAAATGTACGATTTCATCTTACAAGAAGTTGCCCAATCACAATAATTAGATCCGCAAGCGTCATATATCGAAACATGGGAAGTTACCTTCATGCATCACGAAAAAAAGAATAATTTTCATTCAACAAACCATGCAAGCAATAATATTTTCCTCATTGGTTGAAGTTTCTAGAAAAATTCTGCTTTAGCAAAACACATCAACTCGGTCCATAGTTCTGTCCACCGTGAATGCAAGAGAGTGCAAATACAGTAATTATTCATGTTACATTCTTAGTCATTGAAGTATCAGGACCAATCACATGGAAAATTTTCCAGGGTTGCCACCTCTAAATTGATATTAAGCATCTTCGTGTTCTTAAAGTAAATAATATATCTTTCAGTTATGATTGGAATTTGCATCAAATATACATGTATGACGTGAGAATCGTGATAATTTATCATCTGAAACAAACGCTAAGTTAGCTAATTCCCTTAAATCCTAATTTTCAATGAACCGTTCACAAGTTTTTCTCTTGGAAAGCTCGATCCATTGGTTGAAAAGCTCCGCATTGATTTCATGAATAAAAAGCTGTACTCGATTATTTCGTGGATATTGCAACGCCTTTACAGAAACATGGCTGTCCACTTGAAATGTATTTGCAGCAATAGACTGATAAAAGTTCTTATTCTGTCGTGCTTCTTGAAATGGTATTTGGATGTTGTACCAGACCGAAAAAAAAATGTTGGATGTTGTGCCGAAATCGATGAGTTGTGTTGGCCGACCATCCATTTTCTCGATGGCTTACATTGTTCTGCCTAAATTTTTGTTGAGAATATATCAATTCATGGGAGTGCAGGAAGAGGTTTACCTGTAAAGCTTATATAAGAGTGAGGGGATAGGCGTGCTTCGTCACAGTCCCACCCCCAAAGATTTAGAATATATCCTAGGCTCTATTGGTCCAAGCAATCAGCGAAACATAAAAAGCTCACGGGACCTCCACGTGATGTGCTTAGATGTACAAACCATCACAAGTATAGCACAAAGACTGCAAGCCTCAACTAATATCTAATTACTTCTACAATTTAAAATGCAGTGCTAACTTTTTCCGTCAATTAATGTTCCACGGTTACTAATTGTTGGGTATTTTTGAACAAAATTCCTTGATCACATCGTTCCTTGTTTGGTGTTGTCCGCTTGCTTTAATACCAAAGTTTTTTCATGATCGTTAAAGCTAATAAATACATCAGACCTTTGAGAAGACTTTGTAACAAAACGAATTTGACTTCTTGCGGTTGAAACGAGACCCGACTGTAGGAGTCAAGCTGGCCCCGCTCTCACTGTAATAATTTGTTAAGCAACTTTTATAAGGCTTGCAGTCTTCCCGCTATGCACGGAAACGACGTTAAAGACACTGTGCGATATAGAGGCAAAATCCAATGTGCTCTGTACAACAATCGATGTGCTTCTCCAAGTAATATCTAATAAGATAAACCTTAGCAGGTTACAAAATTTGCCGAGTATATATAGCCGGAAACATTCATTAAAAGTTCTGCCGTACTCTTAGGTAATGAGTAAGGAAAGGCAAAAAAGTGCTGTACAAGAGATTGCACTATCTCATGCGAGCGTGCACTATAATCGTACACTGAAACATTATGATTATTATATCTATAAAATCGAACAATGCTAATAAATTCACACGGAACACACATTTAAAAAATTTACTTATTACTTAATTGGCTTATTAATTTTTAATAATGTTTTCATCTAACTCGTACATTTTGTGCATCAGTTTCCAGGACTCAGTTTTCATACTATTGAAATTTCAAAGGCCTCTCCAAGTATTAAAAACGTAGAAGAAACATGGATATTAGGTGTTTAATTGGTTATTCGCTGACTGGGGATCGGAGAACCACAGGCAATGAACATTTCTATCATCAAAATGTTGCTGGTTTTTCCTAGTTCTTTTTGCCGCTAGAAACAGAGAGGAATATCGCTACTTTAAAATTTCTGTTTTGCTTATTCAAACTTACTACAAATTTTTTGATGAAAAATTGATTTCATTTAATAAAATTTTGACGACACGCTAGTAAGTTAAAAAGTGTCTAATAATTATTTTTAAAGTGAGGCTTTGATTCTCGTTGAGAAATTGGTAATAAAATATTACTGTGCATTGCGTTCATCTATCAGGTCATATGATAACTTCACAGATAACAATTTACAGGTATATATGCTGTGAAAAATTGTATTACTTGTTATCAGTAGGCATGAAGTATTAAACAACATTTTCGAATAATTGCACTGGTTTCATGCCATCTGCAAGTCATTGCAATTTGCCATTTTAGTTGAAAAAGTTCATCCATATTAGCTGAAAAGTTTTAATTATACTAGTAGAGTACACGAAAGTGACATTTTCATCAATGATTTGCTTGATGTAAAAAATAACAAACAATACGTTTGACATGGCCAGGTAAAATCAAAGTTTCCGTACTACCAGTAGCGTTCCAGTGAGCTCGCTGACGTTCACTCTTTTACACAAGTCTTAATTTAATTAAGTTGCAGGGAATGCCAGCGACAAAACTGCCCACCGTCCCACACAGCGTTCCAGTGAGCTCGCTGATGGCTCCTACATTCCACAAGTCTTAATTTAATTAAGGTGCAGGGAATGCCAGCGACAAGACTGCCCACCGTCCCGCATGGCGTTCCAGTGAGCGAGCTCCTCCTCGCCGGAGCTGCTGGAGCCCAAGGAGCACCAGCCGATCATGTCCTTCCTCTTCATGCTCTTGCGCGCGTACACCGCCAGCAGCAGCGTCACGTCTGGCAGTTGGAACAGCGCCACCTGAACAAAGGACTTTCCTTACTTTTCATTGAGTGAAATGGTTAAATTCAGTCTTACGACACCCTCGAAGCAATTAAGTTAGTGTTTGCAATTACACTGCAGTGCACAGTCGAATTAGTCTACTTCAAGCAAAAGAAAAAATTTATAAGTTTCAAAATTGAGAGGTTTTCACGTAAAATAATTAGTGGTTTTAGCGTTTATTAGGCCGTAGGCCTGTCGCCTATTCTTAACATTGCTTTAAGAATCGGCGAATTCACAGCTTGTTGTGATCTCGACCTCGCACCTCTCTGCTCCAATCTTGGTACTCTAACTTCAACCACTGGGCCACCGAAATCACTCGGTTTGAGGAATGTGAGTAATCAAGCATGTAATGGGTGTATGACTTGATGCTGTGGGGTAAGTTTCGAACACATATGACATTCCACTTGTTCATCAAACACATTTCAGTTCATTCCCTTCAGCTTTACAATTCTCACTTGGAAAATGAACGTTTCTTTGAAGAGGGGATTAGGTTGCCCCCGTCGGATGGTAGTTTTTGCTGTGGCGATCTCCTGGCCGCTCGAGGAAGTGAGGCGAATCTTGACCAGCGAGTCCGGCGCACGGGGGTTGGCTATGCTGCTGCTGTCTTCGCTAGTTCTATGGCAGTAACATTAATTTTTGTTTATCAAGTAGCGTTACTCAATACACTTTTACAACATTTAACGCGGATTCAAATTTTAAGTGACCACTTTGCGGTTACAGAAATATGGATATTGATGTAGACTTTTTTGATGTGGAAAAAGGGTCACGGTGAGTTCTCAGAAAATCTATCTTTCATGATCGCACGTGAAATGCGATCGATGGTACTTTTCTACAAACGAATTAGAATGACAAGCCTGCTGGTGAATTGTAAACGAGGTTCGACATCTTATCATGATGGACCGACTTAAATAAGCAGCCATTTTTTATTATGTGAACATCGCAGTCACTGTACCTGTAGGAGAAGCCTCTTACGTTTCAAGTAAACGTCAATTTATTATTATTTGAAGTATATTATCTCTGTACCTGAAGTGAGAGCCCTTGATGATCTCGACAGCCAGTCGCCCCGTTGTGCCGTTGTAGGTGAGGCCAACCAGGAGGCCTGGCGCTGCTCCGTGCACCGAGTGGTTGGATCCCGTACTGTCGCTGCGAGGCAGGCTGCACACTTCAGCCACTTCGTCCGACTGCTCAGTTTCATTGGATCCATTAGTATTTACAATTCCACTAAGAATGTAATCAAACCTACCAAATTTATTACAATAGAAAACGTGATGTATGTATACGCCTGCTCGATATACACTATGATTACTTATTTTTAAGACTCGGCAGATTGTGGTTGTTGCCCGACATATTCACTTCCAATTTTTTCATGATACGATTGAAAAATATACAGAGTCTACATGATTTTCACCTCAGTGACACAGGATGTCCCGGGCTCAAGCGTGAGCCAGACACACTAGGCCTTGTGCAGGTTGACACACCGCATATTTGATTCCTACATTAGCAACATTCTTTCCAGTAATTTTTCTCATCCAATTTATAAATACACTAAGTGGGTATGTAACACGGCAGTGACACAGGTAGCTCCGGACTCGTTAAGCGTGAGACAGTGACAGTTGGCCATGTGGAGGCTGATGCTCGACATATTTCATTTCAACGTTCACGACATTACCTGCTACTACTTTAATGCTCATTAATGATTATTTTCAAAACGCACAAGTGCGTGTAACTCACCGCAGTGACACAGGTCGCCCCGGACTCTAGGGGAGCCAGAGGGAGTTGGCCATGTGGAGGTTGACGCTCGACATCTTTCATTTCAACGTTCACTACCTGCTACTACTTTTATGACTTTTAATTATTATTTTCAAAATGCACTAAGCGGGCATGTAACTCACCGCAGTGACACAGGTTGCTCCGGACTCTAGGGGGAGCCAGAGGGAGTTGGCCATGTGGAGGTTGACGCTCGACAGCGGCACCAGGGCTTCCCCGAGCAGCCGCTCCCGCCGTATGCGCTGACACTCGTACAGACGGAACCGCAGCGACAGGCCCAGCACTTCGTCTGCAAGAAGAATGATTCAGTTGGGAATTAGGGGTATTGAATGATGAGGTTTTCTATCCAATACTTTGAACCATTCATATTATAATGAAGTCTTGGTTAAATCGTACATAACCACTAGTAAATGCGTAGGTGGAAATGCATTATTGAACTGATACTACCTCTGTGAGGAAACTTTTCCGTGCTTTCAATACACTAAGTTTCATGAAAAGAAATTTTTAATATATCTGATTTATCCTTCAGGCAGAGAATTATTCACCAAAAACAGCTGCAACAAACTATACACATTTTTATAAAAATATTAATGTATTTGCCAGCTATGACTATGAATGAAGTATATTTCATGCTTCTTAGGATGACTATCGACAAAATTGCTCGATGAAATTGCTAACATAAGTAATCCTTTATACCTGGGCTTATTTTTCTGAAGATGAAAGCCTCGTTGAATTGCGGCGTGGAGCCTTGCCGAATTCGTGTCTTGTGTTTCTGCCTGCGGTTGGGCACTAGCAGAATGCGGACCTGAAGCACAACTTCGTCTTAGTCTCATATTATAACAATACAAGTAACAACAATTCGAACAATGAAACGCTTGATATTTAAAATAAATACTATTAATTTTATAGAGTTCACCGCTTTTTAAAGTAAGTTATTAAATTTATCGTCAAACAGGAGAATATCTTTCTGGGGGATCTAAAGACGTTTCAATTTTTTTGAAAGGGGGCAGGGAGGAATTGGTTTTCATATGTTTTATGGCAAGCGATTTAAATGTAATGCGAATTACATCAACACGCTTTTACATTTTCAAATGAATACAAAGGTGAAGTGAGCTAGATAAATTTTTACGATTGTTGATTGCGGTTATGCCATTCATCGAAATTAAAAACCATATTACATACGAGCAGGCGTGGCTTCACTCATTGCACCTGCTAAATTAAGATGAATTAACTGTTCAAATACGCTAAATAAATACGGATGTTAAATTAACCGTTCAAATACGCTAAATAAATACGGATGTTAAATTAACCGTTCAAATACGCTAAATAAATACGGATGTTAAATTAACCGTTCAAATACGCTAAATAAATACGGATGTTAAATTAGCCGTTCAAGTACGCTACATAAAATACTTAAATTAACTTTTCAAATACGCTAAATAAATACGGATGTTAAATTAACCGTACAAATACGCTAAATAAATACGGATGTTAAATTAACCGTTCAAATACGCTAAATAAATACGGATGTTAAATTAACCATTCAAATACGCTAAATAAATACGTATGTTAAATTAACCGTTCAAATACGCTAAATAAATAATGATGTTCAAATGACCTGGGAGTTGGCAGCGGCGCCGCTGTCCCTGTCTGGCACGCCCTTGGCCTGCAAGACGTGCGCGGTGAGGATGCGCGTAGGAGTGTCGTACGCCAGGCTCACCTCCAGGCTGCTGTTCTCACGCGGGAACAGCGCGTCGTCGCGTGTCTGCGGTGCAGGAATATTGTCTTTATAATCATATTCGATTATCGTATTAGTAAAATTTCAGTGAATGCAATACGATTATCTTATTATTCAAACTACAGTGAACACAAAGCGATTACCGTATCATTCAAACTTCAGTGAATCAAATACGATTATCGTATTATTCAAACTTCAGTGAATGCAATACGATTATCGTATTATTTTAATCTCAGTGAATGCAATACGATTATCATATCATTCAAATTTCAGTGAACACAAAACGATTATCGTATTATTAAAATTTCAGTAAACAAAAACTATTATCGTATTGTTCAAATTTCAGTGAACACTATACGATTATCGTATTATTAAAACTTCAGTGAACACAATACGATTATCGTATTATTCAAATTTCAATGAATACAAAACGATTATCGTATTATTAAAACTTCAGTGAACACAATACGATTATCGTATTATTCTAATTTCAGTGAATACAAAACGATTATCGTATTATTCAAATTTCAATGAATACAAAACGATTATCGTATTATTAAAACTTCAGTGAACACAATACGATTATCGTATTATTCTAATTTCAGTGAATACAAAACGATTATCGTATTATTCAAACTTCAGTGAACACAATACGATTATCGTATTATTCAAACTTCAATGAATACGAAACGATTATCGTATTATTCAAACTTCAATGAACACAAAACGATTATCGTATTATTCAAATTTCAGTACACAAAAACGATTATCGTATTGTTCAAATTTCAGTGAAGACAATACTATTATCGTATCTTTCAAACTCCAGTGAACATAAAACGATTACCGTTTCATTCGTACTTCAGTGAAAACCAAACGATTATCGTATTGTTCGAACTTCAGTGAATCCAGTCCTATTGTCGTATCATTCAAACTTCACTGAAACCAAAACGATTATCGTATTCAAAGTTAAAAGCAAAGAAAGTAGCCAAAAAATTCACAATTTCCTTGTAAGAGAAAACGTTTCGCAGTTAAAATTTAAATCTTCAAACGATAACAAATAAAAATGAAATAAACATGAGCAGACAAACCTATGTATTTACAATTTCGATGAGGTAGGAACTGTAGGCGTAATTTGAAATCGGCTTTTCTTCAAAAATATACAGGGATTATAAATACGCTGTTCAGAAACGCTGGCTGCGAAGGCTAAAACTCCAAAATAACCATCGAACACGAGGACGTTCCACTGTTCGGCATGAACGCGTACAGCTGAATGAGGGGGATGCGAAAGCTGGTATCCTATTCTATAACTTCTCTCTTTGTGCTCCGTCAGCCTAGTATAAAAATTGCGAGACGTCACACCGACATACGAAGATGCGCACTGCGCACAACTATATTGATAAACTAGGGACGATCGCGTAGGAACAGGGTGCGTATCTTTATAAAAAAGTGCTTAGTTTGGAATTATTCACCAGCATTAAATGAAGATTTATATACATTCTGGAAGTAATTAGCGAACAATACTTTTAACCCTTTTAACCTAGACTTAGAAGCAGGGCTAAAGTAATGAAATAAACGATAAACAACGTTTTTATTGTCAAACTAGGAAACAGCCTCAGAATATGGCTTAGAAAAACATTTTAGTCCACCTCTTGTAACGAGAACACCTCTTGTGACGGAATCCCATTCAGTGAAGAGGTACTGCATACAAATTAAATTGCAGTGTGCATAGAACGTAGAGGAGAGCAAATACGAAACCCGCTGTTAAATAAAGTTTGATGCTCATTGAATTTGAAACAAAATAAACGACAAATAAAAAAGTTGGTGCTTAAGCCGATAAACGTCGATTATTGGAAACAGAAATCTAGAAACCGCCCACTTTTTACTTTCCGACGAGATATTTTTTTATTTCTAATTTACAGACGATTTACAAGTATCTCCAATTTAAGAAACCTTAACTTTACTGATACTGCCCTCACTGTCTGGCAGATTAAATATTCATTTCTATTTTAAAATTATCCCCAAATTTAGAAGCATTAACAACTATTCTCATGCTGCCCCTCACTGTCTGGCAGACTAAATATTCATTTCTATTTTATATATTATCATTTAAAATCTCCAAATTTAGAAGCATTAACAATTACTCTTATACTGCCCCTCACTGTCTGGCAGTTCAACAAATATTCATTTCTATTTCATATATTATCCTTTAATATCCCTAAATTTAGAAGCATCAACAATTATTCTTATGCTGCCCCTCACTGTCTGGCAGCTTAACAAATATTCATTTCTATTATATATATTATCCTTTAATATCCCCAAATTTAGAAGCATTAACAATTATTCATGATGTGCCTGGGTGAGCCTGGCTCACCTGGAAGGCCGGTGAAGGGCCCGGTCCCGTGTGTCCCTGGTAGCCCTTGGGATCTCTGTGGCGCAGTGACCTGTGCGCCATCAGATCATCATCTCCACTTGACGTCGACGCACACGATGATGCCGACGATGATCCTCCTAAACCTGCACATCATTTCAAGCCAGCCAAGAAAGAGAAAATATTGGGAAAAATAAATACTATTGCATATTACAGTAAATTGCAATACAAAATGTGTTTTGAATGATAAATGAATAATTTAAAATACTAAGACGCAAGCATGTAAATTGCAATACAAAATGTGTTTTGAATGATAAATGAAGAGGTTAAAAACAAAGAAAATAGCCTAAAAATGTATCATTTATTACTAAGGAAAACATTTCGGAGTCGATGGTACAAAAAAAATATTTTGTTATGGGTCGAAAGCGTGATGAGAAAATGTTTCTTTGATTGTCTACACTTTAAATTCACTTGTTAATGATTTGTTGAACTCTGATATATGAATAATAGTTAATTAAATTAATAAAATGTTTCTAGTAATAATAATGACAAAGAACGGTACCTTGTATGTAAAGACTAGTTCAAGTCAAAGAATTGAACTCGAGATTGTACTGCAACAAATATTTTATAGTCAGACTTTAAAGTTGTTCAAAATAGTAATGAAAGGTTAAAATTCAAGATTTTGCACTCTTCCACTGCTCTTATTATTATAATGTGATTGATAGTGGGGTATCTCTCATGATTGAAGTATTGTATTACTGAGAATAATTTCAATAATTAGTAATTAAACGCGGAAAAAACATTTGGATGTCGCACTGAAAAACATTCATTAACGCAATTCAATATTATAGAACCTGTAGTGAGTGAACTCGCTTGCAATAACTGAACGAATGTTCAATAACTGTGCGGAATTGGGGAAACTTCGTTGAACGAAGTTGATGTACTAGCAAAAACAGTACGAACCTGCAGTGAGTGCTCCTGTAGAGGTCCCAGGTTGGGACAGACTGTACGAACCTGCAGTGAGTGCTCCTGTAGAGGTCCCAGGTTGGGACAGCTCTCGCTTGCAGGTCCCCGATGGTGACGACCTGCCGGCCAGAGCGTGATGCTCACCGTGATGATCATGCGTCTGATGATGATCACTGTTCTGAGTTATCAATTCTTCGCTTGTGTGGATATCAACATTTTCTTCTTGAATGCCCCTGTCCCCATGGAAATTCTTTCTGTTGTCGAGGCCTTGAACGAAACAATTAGAATTAATTGCGCTCAAGATATATTGATGTGTAGTCCTAAAATTAATGCGAAAAATTCAATTTTTTAGCAAAGTTCTTACTGTCGAAATGATAAACTTATTTGTGTAGTGACAATGCTAATTCAATACATTTTGTAAATTAGTTGAAATTTGTTTGGTGATCGAAACACGGAATTGTCTATCTGTTAATATATTTTTCGAGTAGGTATAATGTAGTGAATATGTGCCAATAGTATTCGATGCCTCACAGTGCCAAGTTGAATGATTCATTCTTCATGTGCTCACTCGTTCATGTATCACTGACAGTTCGACTGATGAATCCAATTTAAATTGTAATTTATGTATTGCCAGAGTAGCGTAAAAGGCTTCTGCTCACTTACCTCGTGCACCAACTTCATTCAAGTTGGGAGGTTCGGGCTCGTGCAAGGATGAATAATACGGATATTGGAGGCTGGGTTTGGCCCGGGTCATTGTGGGATCGTAAGAAGTTATTCGTTGTAGGGACCTTTGTTGCACTCTCACGTTCTTATTACTTTCATTTCCAAAGATGTGATCATTCGGTGAGCAAAGTCTATGGACGTTTGTTCTTTCTTCTGAGAAATCACTTTTGCAAACTTTTCCATTTTCGTTGGTTTCATTTATGTTTTGATGCTTCAGGTTATCGTTTGTCATTTGCTTGTATTGGCCCGAATAACCTTGTGTGTCAATGCTGAACCTAACGTTGCCGTTGATCTCGTTAGAGTTTGAGGTATTGCAATACTCGGGACTGACAGGTTGGCGATTGCAGTGACCAGGCATGATATGGTGATGGCTGTAGAGGTGTTGACGGTGTGGTGGAGGGGGAGTGTGGTACTGGTGTGGTACAAGCGAGTGGTCCTTTTCATATCCTCTGTTGATGCGGCCGTTCGTGGCTTCAGTTTGACATTTGGTGGTTCCTGCAAAAAATAAAATGTTGAGATTCAAACTGTCTTTATTTTTGAGTAAAATTTGTCCAAAAATTTGAAGAATATAGAATTGAATTTTATAAAATCAAAGACGTTGGTCCCCATCAATAACTCCTCATGAAAAATAAGCTTGAACTGTTAAAAAAATTTGAAGCGTTAAAAGTTCTAATGTTATATTTCTAAGTAAGAGTTTCCACCATACATAAATTTTGAAATACATCGAGAAATATTTCGTGATATGAATTACTGCCTCGAGAGAATGAAACAGTGGTAGATTATTATCAAGTTATTCGATTTTTAATATGAATTTTTAACGATAAATTAGAATTGGACTAATTTGAATTATTCTTATGATTGCAGGAAATCTTTGCTATGTAGGTAATAAAATTTTATGAACTAATGAACTATATATGCTCGTCTCTGCCGTTTTAATATCCGATGATAACGGAATTTAATATTTATTATTCCCAAAATGGTTTAGATATCATCTCTTGATCGTAACTTCGATATAGGCCAATACAGTATATCATGTAGTTTAATACATTTCTAGTCTGAACTAATTCTTGTTATCGCAGACCGTAGATGCAGTTTATTCAAACTAACTATTTATTCATTCCTTAGTTAACATTACATGTATTTAATAATAATCATTGTTGGATATTTCATTTCACAAATAATTACTTCTTCCCATAGTCTATTTTCAAAACATCAATGACTCAACGATTCCATATGTTCGGAATAGCTTCCTCCATCTCGTTGCAAATTGATAGGTAATAAATAAGCAATATATGTAAGCATCTTTTTCACGGCAATAAGCTAACGAAGAGAGGGGCGCGGAGATGACTTTGGTTGTCATGACAACGGTCGTGACGCAAGTAAATTCTTGGCTTCGCTGCACTCCAATACATCCACTCGACTCGCTATAATTGCAATCAACGCTGGCCTTGAGAGAAGCTTCCTCTGCTGCCGCCTGACAACCTGTCAAGTGCTACTGAACCCGTTGCTCAGTGGCGAGGAGCACTCACGTAAAAACAATTATTTAGCATGGACTTTGGATATCATCAAGTAATTTTTCGTAAAGAATTGTAAAAAGGTATTTTTTGGTAAACAGTGATGATTAAGGCCAGTGAAATAAGAATTACTCACGAGCGCAGATGCCAAGTGGTGTACATTCATTGAAGGTAGAAAGAGATACTGAACTGATGAGCATTGCTCTACTCTCGAAACTATTGATCAAAGAAGTGGTGAATGCTGAGGTTATATTCTAACAGGAAGATTGATGCTTTTCCATAAAAATTCCAGATTCTCGAATAATACTATTTTCACTCTTTTGCGAACTGTACATGATGATATTGATATCACTTAGTAATTATTTACTCCAGACAAAATTAGAGAATTCGACAAAATCCTCACCATAATGTAACGCATGAACTTTGTTATCTTCTGTTGACCTTCCAAAACTTGCTTGATGAGTGACTCCTGCAGACCTGGCTGGACGAGACTGAGTGCTCCTGACAGATGGCGAAACTCTTCCGCCTCCTCCGCAGAGATCATCACAATCCACATTTCCTGAACCACTTCTTGTACCTGATCTGGAAAAATGTCCTATCACGTTCGATCTTTCTAAGTTACCACTTGCAATAGAACTCTCTTGATATTGCGTTCCTGGAACCCCTCCTCCTGATCGTCCTCCTCTTTCGCTGGAATAGCCCAAGTTTCCACGGCCATAACATCCATCTTGAGTTCCTCTGCCAACGATTCCTTCCAGACCAGCTCCGCCATCTATAAGTGCCCTTGTAGTCCTGCCTTCGATTCCTGGCCGACCGCTTGCCTGTCCGTCATTTTGTACGGCAGCTCTGAAGCAGCATTCCGGACAATTTGGCTCGATGCAGCGTGGCCTTCCTCCTTCGAAGAGAAGCTCTTCAGAAGTTGATGTCTGGTCATTGCCATCATTTGGGTTTTTCTTGGCCAGGCTCCCCGCAACAGCTAACGAGACGCTGGGAGGCAGGGATAGAGACACTCGTCTGTTGAGGTACAGGAAGACCAGGAAGAGCAGCACTGTAGTGGTCGCCACCATGCCCATGAACACTGACGCACCATCCTTCACAACTGCAAATAAGAGAGATGTATGAAGTGATGAATTATTAGTTGATACAATACATGTTTCATATTGAATATTTTCAGAGAAGTAGGAAGAAATCTGATTACTAATTTTCAAATCAATCAAAATTGTTTTACTTCTGAGGGCGTTAGCCTTATAAAAAATCAGGCACGAACTCTGTCGCATGTTTTTGAGAAGATTCCCAGATTTCTCCTTGAACGAATGTATTCTATATTTATCGGTTGTTTATGCACATAGGGACCTAAAGTTTAATGCTTAAAGGCTGCAACTTCAAGTTCCATGTAATTAGTTTTAATATTCTCATACAAATCGCTATCGATATAACAATGCTTGTTTATACAGTCAGTTGTACTAATTTAGATTTCCCGTGGCCAGACAAAAATCTGTGAGTGTTTTATAGATTTCAAGAACGCTTCTCACGCTCACGGGTTCTTATGCTGCTTACTGAAAACTGTGCTCGGAATGAATGACCTGCTTGCAAACAACGAGATTCTCGCGATCCTAGACTTGTATTAGGGCGGTAACCGCATCATAAATCTACTTAGTTTTTCCCCTTGTTGACATGCGTGAGGTGGGCTTCACGGGATGGAGGTGACCCAGATTTGGCCGGTAGGTCATGAGGTACGAAACTAGGGTCGGCGGCTGCGCTTCTTAAAGGGGAAGTGAGGGCTGCGGCTGAAGGGATCAGTTGCTTCGTTTATCAGATGATCGGCAAAAGTTAATACTTTTAATACAAAGATTAGTAAGACCTTTAGTCGTTATAAATAACAAAATTGATTCAAATGACCTTTTGTGATGGGAAGGGTAAAAAAGGCCACATGAAAGTCGAGTCTTTTCCATGAGATTTGTAGCAAAGGTCAGTTTTTCTGCTGAGGGATCCGGCTGACATGGAGCCGTCTAGGCTTATTGCATCAAGGATTCAATCAGTCTTGGCAGCCAAGAGATCCACTAGGAGGAACTAACAGTAACAGGCGATGCTTCTCATACCGTTGGATATGACTACCTATAGGTATTAAAAGCCACATTGGGTGTTCGATAAAGGTAAAAACTATATTTTTATCCCGTAATCGACCCTACCTTTTGCCCAACAGTAAATAAACAATGAGACTTGTGGCATTCGGCTGACCTACATTCATATCGCATGAAATCTTCAACAGCGAAACAAGAAAATATTTGTATATGAATGCGAAGAAACGCATAATATCATTACTGAATTTCATTAGAGATTGTGTCCGTGAACTCGGCTCCTGTGTTTGATCGTATTTAATAGGTATATTTTGTCGCTATTCGAATACGTGCAAAATACTTTTACTTAGCCTCTCCCGATTACTTGATTGCTGGGCATGAATGAAGTAATTCCGAAAATATTTATCTAGTCAAAAGGAATATCATTCATTTACCTGAAATTGTAATATTCTCTCTACCCACCGAAGTACTTTACATCAATTGGTTAATTTTACTACGATCGTTATTTCTATTGCAATGGCATCCGTCTACACTGAGTCCAATACACGTACGTACCAACTCATAAAACAGAATTTTTTCAATTCAGATTATGCAAAGAATTCCAATAAATATGAATTTTTTTTCTATATTTGCAGAGTTCTTTCCTCCAGAGTTTTCGCCTATGTGTGTATGATCCAACAACGAGAGCTATTGATGCTTATTTATTCATATGAAAGCCTTTTAAGATGCAATCAACCTCAGAATTTTCATAGCGAAATTTTTCTGATACGAATTTCTATTCATGATTTTTGTGGAAGCATGAATGCGACCAGACCGTTGAACTCGAGGACACGAATCAGATAAAAAGTTGTCAGAGCAGCTTTCGAGAGATTCTTTATCCTCTTCCATCGTAAAATTATTGAAAGATTGATTCGTAATCTCCAAAAAATGTGAATTGTCGCTATCAGGAGAATCTATCTCTGGATACAGAAACTAATCAATTTGACTGAAACACATTGCAATGAATGCCAACTGAGAATCCATAGAGCTTATTTATTGTAATTTTTATTATTTGTAATGAGAAACTGATTTTAGGCAAACTATTTCATTGTCAGAAGGAAGGGAATCACGAAAACGTCCGGGTTTTCTCATAGAAGGAGTGAATTTCTTTTATTGTTTCTTATGTATTAAGATGATTTAATGCGTATTGATAATTATCAGGAATCCAGAACTAAGATCCTATTTTTTTCAAAGTGTACCCTAACTCAATTAAATGAATTTGATTGTAATTAAAGAAGAGTCATAAAAAAACTAATTTTAGACTCATGGATTGAATTACTATTTGTCCAGAAAATTATTATTTAAATGTCATTAGACATTTTTCTGTGCCTGCCACATGAATTAAATTAGAATATTATAAATTTAATTCGTAGATTGCTATTCCCGCGCCTGGAAAACCAACCACTAGTAAACCTAAAAAATATGCTCCTCCCAATGTCTTCCTAAACTTGACCATGCGGCAACTTCTAAAAGGGGTCACTGCAGCTGATGCTTAATAGCCTTTAAGTGAAGAAAAGGACTCATCAGGGAAGTCCTTGCCATTTACTTCTCATCCCAAGGCCAACATCGAGCCAGGCACAAGTTAATCGATGCAGCCAGGGACGTCATTACTGGCAAGCACATGCAACGCTAACGTTAACGTAGAAACAAGGAATTAAGATGTCATCAGTTGACGTATTTATTTGTTTTTAATGAATTCAGATGTCATCAGTTGACGTATTTATTAGTTTGTAATGTTTAGGGTAAATTTTAGAAGTTGGGAATATTGCTCGGTGATATTGCTGGGGCCTAAGTTACCACGAACGGCCAGAAATGCTTTGAAATAAAATAAAATACTAGAAAAGCTGAATTTGCATTTGAATTAATTCCTGATCGTGAACTCTTTAACCAACCCCAGCTAATAAATTTTGAACTAAAATTTAAACTGTGATTCTAGTGGGATTGATAAAATCACAAAACCAATTCACTTGCAATCGTGTTTGAGGGTGAAGCACAACTGTGATGGATTTTGATTCATTGGTAGAACAATACCGTAACAATAAAGTTTCGATCAAGTTACAAGGCATTGTTTTTATTTTTGTTATTTTAGCACTCTAAAGAGTAGCGTCTAACACTCCAAAGAGCAGTGTCTAACACTGTAGAGAGTGGCATCCAACACTCTAAAGAGGAGCGTGCAGCACTCTAAAGAGCACCGTCCAACACTTTAAAGAGTAGTGTCTAACACTCTAAAGAGTACCCACCGTCTAACACTCTTAAGAGTAGCGAACATCACTCTAAAGAATAGCGTCTAACACTCTAAAGAGTACCGCCTAACACTCTAAAGAGTAGCGAACATCACTCTATAGAGTAGCGTCTAACACTCTCAAATGTGTTGAGCAATGGAAAATTTTGTTTGCTCTAAAACGCCAGACGCTACTTATACAATTACGAACAATTACGAACATTTGTCACTAACGTTGTATTGTCGTATAGAAAATTATGAACATTAGTGTTCGTGAATATTGACATTAATAGTAAGTTCATGAATACAATTCCGAGCTTTAGTTCTCAAACATACAATCAAGATTTTATGTACTCATTCATACAATTTGACTATTTGGCCTGTGAGCGGCAATATTCATATCGCAACAATCTTAAAAAAGTAAATATTGCCAATTAAGTTGAAAGCGAACGTCAAGAAAGCACATATATAGGTTGCCATCCAAGGATTGAAATCAACCAGAAAAATAACACTACAGCGCAAACGATTTGCTGCATATGGTGCCTATGTTAGTAAAATTTACTATAATTCAGATTGAAAACTTTTTGTTGAAAAATTGTGAGCGAAAAATATTCGACTTTTGTCGGATTTTTATGTATTATACCTATCGAAAATATGAATTAGTTAAATGTGAGCACTTTAATAATATTCAGTTTTAGTTTAAGTACATATATTGAAAAGAATTATGCACGTGAGCACTCGAATCCAGTTGCGTTTAAAATGTGAGTTGGCAACGGAATGGAGTTGAATGAAGGTTTAAGTGCGAGTGAAGATAAGTGCAGCAATTGAAAAAAGTAGTATTGAAGCTAAGTAGAACAGTCAATAGAACAGCTTATATACGAATATATATATATGATATATATTCTTACATTATATAGAATAGCTTAGACTCACTTGCAGGCGTCTCTGGAGCGAATATCATTCTTGCACAGAACCTACATGCCGCCAGCACCGAGTGCAGCGCTGACCTGACAAGCAGAGCTACCGCGTCCAGCTTTATCCTGGTGCCGTGGGTCTCAGGGAACAGGTCATCATCATGAACAACTTAAACAATAGTGATGCACGCACAACTCAACATCATGAACTATTTAAACAACAGTGAAGCAAGAACAACTCATTATGCAAGTAACTCTCTATAGTAAACTGTTCAATGGAATCCGTGTCAATAACGTATTTTCTCGGTATAATACAGTATGCGTGTCAATATATAGGCGTGCTAATTTATGCTTCTCAATACAGTAGCAATGTTCGATTGTGGCTAAATATCAACTGCAAGAAAGAAACTATATTAAACATTTGATAGGTAATGAGTAATGACCTTAAATTTTTTCTCCTTATATTTACTTCTGAATTGAAACTTGAAAGTGAACTTATATGTAAAATTTGTTTTATCCTATGTCTTTAGGCAGTCATGTATTTTTTGAGAAAGCTAGTGAACTTTTATGGTGTTGATGTTTATAAACTAAGACTCTTTCTCTTTCCGGCTTCCTAGCTTTGAAATTGGGCGAATGAAATAATTTTTGAATTGCGTTTCCGAGTTTATCAGCGTTCATTTTAGGCCTGCAAACGAGATAAATAATGCTCGATATCTTGAGTTATGGAAAATCTCGTAATTAAAAACTAAAACAAAATCCATACGTATGCTTTGAAAGAATAATTATAATGTCATTAACAACTATTGAATATTTATTTATACAACACTTTATTAGTGTAAACTGCACGTACGGAGGCGTGAACGTCAACATAAAAAATTCGTTCAAAGAAGCTACGCATATAAACGACTGATGTTTTTTATGTGAATAAAATTCAAATGCATATAGATAATTCGAATGTCTTTGCTCACAAAGCTTGTTCAAACAAAGTTGCGAAGCGCACAAAACACACAGTCCAATCCTACGTCAAACTACATAATTGTTTGGATCTTCGGAAGACGCTCAAAGGCATGGTTATTTCCTTCGTCACAGGACGCATAAAAAATATTGTTATTTCTAGTGTTGAAAAATACGGTGACAAACGCGATGATTTCATTGTCGAGAATACGTCTACGAACATGACAGCTTCCACTGTTGAACAATACGTCATGACCGCCTCCACTGTTGAATAATACGTCATGACCGCTTCCACTGTTGAACAATACGTCATGACCGCTTCCACTGTTGAACAATCCGTCATGACCGCTTCCACTGTTGAACAATACGTCATGACCGCTTCCTCTGTTGAACAATACGTCATGACCGCTTCCACTGTTGAACAATACGTCAATGAGCATGGCCAGCTTTACTTCTCATGAATGCTTTGACAAAATTTGTCGCATTAATTTTCCATTGAATTGTGCGTAATGCTCACTAAATACTTTCTATGTGATCGAAATTTTAGATTTAAAGAACCTTCCTAGTCTATTATCTTACTCTATTGGGGAACTACCTAAAATGCACACACTGCACGAACTGTATGAACTGATTGAAACGCATAAAACGTGTGAACTTCATGAACTGTCTGAACTACCTAAAACGTATGAACTGCAAGGAACGTATGAACTGCTTAAACTGTATGAAGAACGGGCACTGCACTGTCAGTTTAGTTAGCGCGCGTTTCCAAGACAACCTGCTGGAAACGGTGACTAATGCGCCTGGAATGGCGGTCAAAATAGTGAATTGTACCCCAATTAATCACTGAATACTATCTATAGTCAACATTCTAATAGCGATGCATATATACGCTTATCTTGTTGCAACGCTTTTCCTTTCAAAATCGGCCTAATTAGGGGGTATTCTTTGTTCCGCTTGAGAGGGCACTAATATAGTTCATTTACAAGCATGGACCACAGTGAAATTTGAAAATATCAGCTACAAGAATATTTAATTAAGCACTGTTAGACGGAGGATATTTCGCTATGCTTCACAGTACCAACTCGGAACCGAAGCTTCTATTCATTCGATCCGTCAGCTTTAAAGCTCCGAGCTCGAGGCAGCAATATCATCACAACAAAATAATACCTTCGGCATCTGTATAACTGACTCACATTACAGTGTTTGTAAGTGGCCTGTTACTTTTGTTAAATTGTTTTAATGTTTGCAGATAGCTGAAAATTTGGAGAAAGTTATACGTTATTGTTTAATTTTGTTACGACAAGCCTGATTTCACAAACTAGAAAATTTGTGATTCCATAAATCTACGCCATTACATGACTTTTAAAGTAATTAAGACAGTTTGGATAACTGCTTTATATTGACATTCAAGAAATGTTCGCATAGTTTTGCCGCAATGATTGTAAATAGCAACCCAGAACACAAGCACCTCTTCTGAAGAACGTCCACGCGCGGCTTCCGTGGGGGCACTGAATAAGTGAAGTGCAGACAGCCGTCCTCTACCAGTGCAGCTCTCCCTCACTCATATATTGATCTTCAAAGAGTCTTAAAAAGCAACACATTAATCTCCCTATGAGTCTGAATACGAACAAAAGAACACAAAATATGATTTTATCACTGAAACCCTGGCTTGAAAACTCGGTAAATAACAAATTCGTTGCGGCTTTCAGCCACGAACCGGAAGTTGTCCGCCTGACTTCCGAGAAACGCGTGTCTTGCTCAATGTTTTTACGGGGCATTGCTCTGTGCGTCAGACGGATTCTGTGAACGAATGAACTAATCGCGTAGGCATTCGTGCCTCGCGCGTCGTATGAAATATCTACGGTGTTTGGAGCCAGCATTCTATTTACCCTGTGCATGCATTCAAATTCAGCTGCAGGGGCAGGTTGGTGCAGGTTGGTCAAGGTGCAATTCTGGTGCAGGCTGGTCAAGTTGTAATTGCGGTGCAGGTTGGTGCAGGTTGGTCAAGGTGCAATTCTGGCGCAGGTTGGTCAAGGTGCAATTCAGGTGCAGGTTGTTGCAGGTCGGTCAAGGTGCAATTCTGGTGCAGGTTGGTGCAGGTTGGTCAAGGTGCAATTCAGGTGCAGGTTGGTGCAGGTTGTAGCAGGCTGGTCAAGGTTTAATTGTGGTGCAGGTTGGTGCAGGTTGGTTAAGGTGCGATGCAGGTGCTGGTTGTTGCAGGTTGGTCAATATGCAATTCTGGTGCAGAGATTAGTGCAGGTTGGTCAAGGTGCAATTGAGGTGCAGGTTGATGCAGGTTGGTCAAGGTGCAATTCAGGTGCAGGTTGGTCAAGGTGCAATTCTGGTGCAGAGATTAGTGCAGGTTGGTCAAGGTGCAATTCAGGTGCAGGTTGGTCAAGGTGCAATTATGGTGCAGGTTGTTGCAGGTTGGTCAAGGTGCAATTGAGGTGCAGGTTGGTGCAGGTTGGTGCAGGTTGGTCAAGGTGCAATCCTGGTGCAGGTTGGTCAGGTGCAATTGAGGTGCAGGTTGATGCAGGTTGGTCAAGGGGCAATTCAGGAGCAGGTTGATCTGTTGCAGGTGCAGCAAATCAAGAATAAGGTGTGCTTGGCTGCCGTGTAGAACATGAGCTATATTTGAGCTCTGAATTAAAACTGTAAGCTCATATGTAAAAACATTTAAGAATCGCTTAGACATATACTACGTATATAGTTAAAACTTACAAGTAAATTCTGCGTCGGAGTCTATTTGTTACAAATGATCTTCGGCCTGCTTCTTCACCTTCAAGCTAGAACCACGAAAATACTTCTTTATCAGATTCTATTAATTTGCTTAAATTATAAGAAAACTTTATGTTATTTGTAGCCCATATCAAGTTCTCTCTCTGCGATAGTTATATCTTGCTAGATAGTAACTATCGCAGCGATAGATATTTTTCCGTCACAGTTTATTTTAAGCTTGAATGTTTTGTACAAATATTCCAACATACTACAACAAGTCCCGAAACTGTTGCAGCAACAAGACAAACAATGGCAGGAGCAGCGGCAGTAGCAACAGTAACTGCAGGGGCAGCAACAGCAACAACAGTAACTGCAGATGCAGCAACAGCATCAACAACAGTAACAGCAGGTGCAGCAGCAGCAAAAGTAACTGCAGGTGCAGCAGCAGCAGCAACAGTAACTGCAGGTGCAGCAGCAGCAACAACAGTAACTGCAGGTGCAGCAGCAGCAACAACAGTAACTGCAGGTGCAGCAGCAGCAACAGTAACTGCAGGTGCAGCAGCAGCAACAGTAACTGCAGGTGCAGCAGCAGCAGCAACAGTAACTGCAGGTGCAGCAGCAGCAGCAACAGTAACTGCAGGTGCAGCAGCAGCAGCAGCAGTAACGACAAGAGTGGCTGCGTGTATCGACCTCCCACGCTCGCCCTGAGACCAGCGGACCACAGCTCCCACAATCGCACCTTGCCAGACAGTTGCCGGACCCACATGGCCGCATACCTAGAAAAAATCTGTGACACGTATATAGGCTATGATGCATTTTATACAAATATATCATATTTTATACAACTAAACTATAATTTTTTACAGTTATGCTATATTTTATACAGCTACACTATAATTTTTTTTATTGGTAAACTGTATTTTTTACAGCTGTTCGTCTTGACAGCGTAGATAAATTCAGTAAAAATATAACATGTTGATGAAAAACTTCCTTGTTCGTCGGACTAACTTGTGTGTTGTGATAACAATGATAAATGTCTTTTTGATTTATACATCGTTCGTTAAACTAATATTTAGAGATGGTTTAATTAATGAGAACACACTCAATTTTTTTGAATAAATGTTTAAATTGGGAATTCCAAGTTTTAGAATTTATTACAAAATACCAATTAGAGATATTTTTTTATACCAATTTAACTTCTGTGTAACATTATGTGACAGAAATGTTCAAATCCGTATAAGCTCACCTTAAAAGCTGGAAATTTTATTATCAAGCAGCTGGGAAATGTTTTCTTTTAACATACGGGAAAGATCTAGTACTAACATGCAAATCTAAAAAAATTGGAATTATTTTATACGTTCAACAGATTTCAATCTATGTTTTAGTTTCACCTTGCTGTAAGGGAGCCGAGCAGCTTTCATTGAAAAAATTTCTATCATTCATAGAAAACGACGCAAATTGGGAGCCATCCTACAGTTCGGTCTCAGTAAAACTGGGCTCATAATATTTGTCGCATATAACAAATGCAGATCTGAGT